TCCAACACGAGCCCAACATGAGCCCGGATGAGTCCAACATGAGCCCAGATGAGTCCAACATGAGCCCACAGGCAGATGAGGGGGCGGGATGAGCGGCGGCGGGGCGGGCATCAACGAGCATCAGGCGGGCGGATGGACCTCAGCGGGCGGGCGGATGGACCTCAGCGGGTGGGCGGATGGACCTCAGCGAGCGGGCGGGCCTCAGCGGGCGGGCAGACGATGAGCCCGAAATGAGTGCAGCATGAACACAGCATGAGCCCCAATGAGTACAGCCTGAGCCCAGCGTGAGGACAGCCTGCCCAGCATGCGCCCGGTGAGCATCAAATGAGCATCAGAAGGCTGCCAGTATGTAAGATCCACTGAATGCCCCACCGCTGTCGTTCCGTCATTCCTGTTATTTCAACCATTTTCCGTGACAAGAATGACCGTAAAGACAAGAACAAAGAATGATGGGAATGACAAGTATGAGAAGCATAAAAACACCGGAAGCAACAGATTCGCGGGCGCGCACGCAAACTGAACAACTGAATTTACGCGGGGTGACCTGCAGGCCTGCAGAGCATCAGCGGTCATCAGCGGGGCTGCAGACGAGCATCAACAGGGTTGCAGATGAGCATCCGCGGGCGGCCATATAAGCTTCTCAGCATCAGCATGAGCCCAGCAGGATCCCAGCATACAGCGTCAGCTCCACATGAGCCCAGCATGAGCCGCCCAAGCATGAGCCCCACATAACCCCAAATGATCAGCCCAGTGAGCTACGTATGAGTCCGGCATGAGCCCGAGTGCCATAAGCCCCGTAGTGCCACATTAGGGCCCCCGCATCAGTGCCACATTAGAGCCACAACCTCCGCACACCGACACCTACCGCTGCCCGACCCCCACACGCCTGCAGATGAGCCACAAATGATACCACAATAAGTGCCACCCCTCGCTCTGCCGCAAAGCTCTGCCCCTCTGTGCCCCACCCCCGCACCACCGCTCTGCCGCTGTTCTACAGCCACTCACGGCCTCTGCCCCATGAGTGCCACATGGCTCATGAGTCCAGCGTCGGTCCCTGAGTTCACGCGAGTCCTCATGCTCGCATAGGGCTCAGCCTGAGCTCTGAGCTGCCAACCCTGACACACGCTACAGATGAAGGTGACCGCGCGAGCCAGTTTTCATCCAGTGGCAAGTGCGCAGTAACCTGCGAACGCCCATCAGGCGTTGAAGGAAAGGAAAAGTGACCAGTTCTGCCAGTACCCTGCTGCAACCCTCTCCCAAGCAAACAAGCTCAGCCGCCAGCACAGCTCGGCCCTTGCAGTAAATGGATATTCAGGGAGTGCATTTTTAGCGCACGATACCATAAACTACAAGCAAAGGCAACAAGCGGCTCCTGCACCCGGGCACCGGCTGCCTGGCGCTGACGTCACGGAAGTTGTTGCGACCGCCTCAGTTGTTGCTACGAAGAAGGCAGGTCGATTAAAACTGACTCTCGCTTCAACAAGCGCACGGGCCTTTGCCCAGCCGCAGTTCCTTCCTCCTGCCAACATTCGCACTCAGAAAACACCTGCTCCAGTCTTGCCAAGGCTGAGCACGCAGGCTTGGCCCCTTCTTCTCCGACACTGTCCACTTCCCGCCGTTGAACTTCCAGACTTGGGGTGAAACAGTCTAATGATGATTTGTAGAACTACAGGGCTCCTTCTTGAAAAGAGCATGGCAGTGAGAAAGACGTGGACAAATCAGCTTCTGGGTGTACTAAACCAGTCAGCAGGATAGAGGGCTGACAAGGAAGCACCCAAAAAATCACGAATCTCATCTGCGGTCTTGTACTCCCAGCCTTTCCTAAGTGTGGGCGGCTTGCTGTTTGCTGGGGCATTTCCCCTCACAAGCAAGCCAAGAATGCCGTCTGGCATGTCCGAGGCTGGCACTTTGTTTCCCAGCTTGCTTTGCAGGCCCCGCACCACGAGTTCGCTCGTTGAATGTTGCTGATAGATCCACATTGCGTCACAAACTGCCGTCCTTGCATAACTTGGTGACAGCACCGCGATGTACGGGAATGCCTCAGATGATATGGTCCTCCCCTTCCACCATGCCACCATGTCGTTCGGCGTGTCGCAATTCTCCTTCGGCACTTTGTGCAAGGACACGCCTTTGACCTTCTCAGTCATGCTTGGCAGATGCAAAAGCTTGTGGACGAAGCCGTACTTGGCCTGGACGCATCGGAGGCTGAGTGCGACCAGCACGATGGCCTCCCAGTCTAGGCCGCTCTCGACCCTTTCCGATAGCTTGGGGATCTCCTCGACCCAACCGGCAATTTCTGACAATCCCAGGCGAGAGCACATTTTGGCCACATAGGCAGGGATCCACCGAATCTGTCCGCTGGCTGGGCTTTCGGTGAGGCTATCGAAGACTCGTATTGGAGCTGAGTTTTCACCCCGCTCACCCGTGAAGAACTCTGAGAGAAAACATTTGGTCAAGGCTGCGGTTGGCTCCTCACACCCTATTGCCTGGAACCGTTCCAGTATGTTGAAGCCGTGCGTCTTCACGGAGTAGATCAGGGATGGCATTTGTCCATAGTACGCAGCCTCGCAAGGAGTCAAAGCCTCACATTTTTCGTCCATGTTCCTGAGTGATTTCGTGTCATGCGAACTGGGCATCTTTATAGTCTCTGCTGTACGAGTGCTGCCTGAGCCCTTGCCCAAAAGATGGGACAGGCCGATGCCGGTTGGAATGTGAGTGCTGAAAATCAGGTATCGGCCTGAAGGGTCGAGGAATTGCTCCCGCAGGAACGCGCCAACCTCTGCATAGCCATCATCTGACTTGTCTGGCTTCAGCAAAACATTCAGCTCGTCGACGATGAGGACAACATCCTTCTTGTCCTTCAGGTACTCCTCCAAGACATTCTGCCTACAGAGAATTCGCGCAGCCTCATCACGCTTCGCGGGCTTCTCTTTCAGCAGTGCAACGGCGATGGCCCTCCGCATTGTTCCCAGGGAGCTTTCGTTCTTGAGCTGCATGATTTGAGAGTCGCCATTAAAGCTGATGAAAATAGGGTTCTTCGACTCATTTTTCAGCTCGTCGAAGACGTGCATCAGCACTGTGGTCTTGCCCCCGCGCATGCACCGGGAGAGCACTGTCGGGGACACTCGCACAGTCGTAGACTCTGTTTGCAGAGGCAAGTTCCTGCGGACAGCCTCGAGGCAGGCCTGCTTGCAAGGGCCAAGCTCCACGAACGTCCTCGGTTTTACGATGATCGGGGGCCGCGTACATGCTGCTATGTCGAAGTCTTTGGAAGCGACCTTCACGGAATGAGTTGATCAAGTAGGTAGGGAAGCCCACTTCCGGGGTAGGCGAGAACTGGCAAGAACCCAGGCCCTCCAAAGCTAAGCCAAACGAAAGAACCTCCTTGGTGCCTCCGAACCCCAATCTGCCCAACACAAAAGCAAAGCAACGGACAGCGCATGACAGCGAACAAGGCCCCGGCCTCCTGGACCTCCTGCTTGGCCTCCTGGACCTCCTGCTTGGCCTTCTCGACCTCCTGCTTGGCCTCCCGGACCTTCTGCTCCGCCTCCTGGACCTCCTGCTTGGCCTCCTGGACCTTCTGCTTGGCCTCCTGGACCTTCTGCTCCCACTTACTTGCCTGCTCCCCGTCGTTGCTGCTTATGGCTTGGCGCCAGCAGTTCTCCGCAAAGTGGACAGCTGCTCTCGCACTTTCCACCTCCTTTCTGGCACTTTCCACCTCCGCCTGGGCTCCTGCCAGCCCCTTCACCGCCAGCTCACGTAGCTGTTGGTCCGTGTCCTGCCAGGTCCAAGGCAGAACAAGATTCTCATGCACCGTAGCTCTCAGCAAGCATGCACAAACGGCCTGACTTGAGGCTGGTCTGGCCTCCCAGGACCACCAACCACCAACAAGAAAACTGAACTGACAAGACCTGACAAGCTTTCACGGCCTGATCGGAGGACGCTTCGGCCTGGTGCTAGGCAAAGCTCAAACCAACAACAGCGCAAGACCTCGCTGAGTCACCTCAGGCTTCTTGTTGGTTTCGGCGTCAACTTTGACCTGTCAGCGCACACATCAAGCGCCAACACAACCAAGCAAGTGAAGGGCGGCGGGCCTCGAACGGTCGTGTTTCCTGCAGGCGATACAAGGAGCAGATGCATTGTACACTGTGTACCTGGGCAGTGCGACGCAATGATGAACTTCCAAACCAGCCCCGCCTGATCTGGAGCTGTTTGGGCCTTGCTGTCAGAAGCAATCCGTGATGAAGCCTGAAGGTCGAACCCAAGCAATCCCTCAAACTCCGAGGTTGGACAGCCAGCTCTGGCCTTCTGCGGGGATTTGTCTGAGGATCCGCCCTGCAAAAGCAAGAATTGTCTACGAATCTGAAATTGACCACCGGCCCGGGCAGGCGCTGCTGGCATGAACCCATGTCAAACAAGCAAACCTTGCACGCGCCACCGGCCACGCCTTGCTTTCACGTCCAGAAGCCTTCGGCCTCTTAAGCGATGACTCCTGCACAAGGGAAAGGTTTCAGGCGACCGAGAAACGCTTAATGACGCGGTCCTCTGCCTCGGTGCCACAGGAACGCTTCTTCATTTCTTCTGCCATTTCTGTAACACCTTCCTGAATTTGAACCAAACTTCTGCAGCAAAAAACGGCGCAGTCGAAGTAAGCGCAACCAGTCCATGTCCAAGCACACGTACGAGCAACAACAAATGCGCAGGCCGCCTCCACGCCATAGGTTCTGGGCCATGAACCCGCCTGCCAACAGCATCTCAGGCTTTCGGTCACAAAATTTGGCACCACCCACGCCACAGCAAGCGAGATCGCGCCTAACCCCTGCAGAAGATGGCGCCAGTGATGTGCAAACAAACCAATCAATCATCACGCAAAAAAATCAAGAAAATCATTCCAAAAAACTAAGCACATGCAAATAAATCCTTGCAGGTATGTGCGAATGCAAACTGCAATGGCGGAGTTGCTGGCGCTGCTGCAGCCCTATCGAAAACCACTTCTAAGACTGTTGTTTTCACAACCTTTCCCGGCCCAAAAAAAGCCGCGAAGCCCTACAGAATTTTGTCGACCAATTTCTGAGGCACAACACGTTGAAGTGTTGGGCCGCCAGGGCGTCCTCCAGTCGAAATCAAAGAGTATAAGGCAACAACCCCTGCAAATTCGGCTGTCTGGGCGCGGCAAAGTTCAGCTGGGCACTAAGGCCCTCAGGATTGCTCAGGTTTCAGCCAGTAGAAGTAGTTCCGGGCCGACTTTCTGAAAGCCACCAGCCCGGCGGATGCAAAAAATCCATCGGGGATGTTGGACTCATGCGGAGCTCATGTTGAACTCATGTGGAGCTCATCGGGCGCGGGTTCCAGGGGCGCGGGCTAGCGGGGCATCGAGGAGCATCTGCGGCACGGACGGCGGCTCAGCGGGTGAGCCATCAGCGGGCGGGCGGATGAGCGTCGGCAGGCGGGCAGTCTTCGGGGCCCGGACGGCGGCTCAGGGGTATGTGGACTCATGTGGACTCATGTTGGACTCATGTGGGCTCATGTGGAACTCATGTGGACTCATGTTGGACCCATGTGGACTCATGTTGGACTCATGTTGGACTCATGTGGGCTCATGTGGAACTCATGTCGTGGACTCATGTTGGACTCATGTGGACTCATGTTGGACTCATGTTGGACACATGTGGACTCATGTGGAACTCATGTGGACTCATGTTGATCGCATGTGGAGCTTATGTGGACTGCGATCGGATGATTATTTCCGGCCTTTAGCATTGTCACCGTCGTCGTCGTCGTGGGCACGCCTGCCGAAGCCCGGCCGAGGACCTACGGCGAGGTCCGGCGCCGAGGCGGGCGGCCCAGCGAAGCCGAGGTGGTGCCCGACTGCATGACACAGGTCATCAGTAACCGACAGCCACCGATGAAGCTTCGCGCAGGGCGGGGGGCCCTGGGAGCCGTCCAGGGAATGGGGCGGCCCCTAAACCCCACCACTTCCCATTGGGGCGGGTGCCCCAGGAGGGAAACTCTGCCCGTTTTTTTCCAGGCCCTCAAACCCGTCAAGTGCGTCAAGTCCGTCAAGTTTGTCAAGCCGCATTTCGCCTGGTCCAGAAGGCCGGGGGAGGGCTTGATGAACTTGACAGACTTGATGCACTTGATGGCCTTGATGGGCCCGACGGCCGCGCTGTCATTTGCGGGCCAGCCCGCAATTGGTTTGGCCATTTGCGGGCCAGCCCCACAATATATTTGCCCAGGGGAAATGCTGCCCGTTTTTTTCCAGGCCCCCAAGCCCGTCAAGTGTGTCAAGTCCGTCAAGTTTGTCAAGCCGCGTTTTGCCCGCACCAGAAGACCGGAGGAGGCCTTGACGAACTTGACGGACTTGACGGACTTGGTGGCCTTGATGGGCCCGACGGCCGCGCCGTCATTTGCGCCAGCCCCACAGTTGATTTGGCCATTTGTGGGCCAGCACCACAATTGATTTGGCTGTCTGTCGGATTTGCACACCCCCTCAAAGCACGCTCAGCAGCTCAGAGCTGGTCGCCCGGCTGGCCCCGACGTAGAGGTGGCGCAGGTTGAAGTGCTGCGTGCCCGCATCCAGCAGCCACAGCCACACCCCGCGGAGCGTCAGCCCCTGGCAGCTCGCGTAGGTAATGGCGTGGCAGAGCCGCGTGTCGGCGTGGGCGAACTGCTGCCCGCCGTCCAGCGTGACGCGCTCCGCGTCCGCCTCGGCCACCCGCGCGAAGGTGCCCTTGGTCACCTTGCCGCCGGCGCCCACCAGCCGCAGCCCGGGCCAAACTCGCATCGTCTGCGGGGCGTTGGTCGTGGGCGCGCCCGGCGCCTGATGCTCGATCACCACGGCGTCCGCGGGCGCCAACCTCCTGTTCTCCCGCTCGTTGATCTGAACCCGGTGGGCGTGGGAAAGCACCAGGCACACGTCGGGGTGCTGGCCCGCCGGCCGCGGGAACTCGCGCCGCGCCAGCCGGACCGCCTCAGCCAACGGCACCTCCTCGGCTTCCCCAACCCGAAGCCAGCTGATGAACTGGAAGATGCGCTCGTCCGAGCGGCGGTTCTCCGTGAGCTCGTGGCAGTAGCCGCCCGCGAGGTCCCGCAGCAG